ATTGTACCAATATTTGCTGTAGCTGATAGTAGTTTCTTGGCTTATTATGGAAACGTTAGTAGCCTGTTTGATGGTTTCAGTTTAAGTCTCAGTGAGGACTCATCAAACTTACAAGAGGTTCTTAATGAAGCTTATTCTAATGTCGTATCAACAGCTCGACTGAACTTTGTCCTTCCGGATTATATATCTGTTAATATTCAAGCTAATTGCCCTCCAAACTCTACCTTCTTACCAGAAACAAACGAGTGCTCCAGCATTGGATCAGGTACGGCTGACTTCTTTATTTCCTTCACTTTGAACTCTTGCCCAGAAAAATACCGAAATGGGCAAACAGAAACAGTTACTGTCAACGTTCCTGGGTTTGGTTCTTTTGATGTTCAAATAGGTGGCCATTGTGCCTGTGAATGTGAAAACACAACAGTTCCTTCCAGTCTACTATGCAGCAACAATGGAGCATTCTCCTGTGGTCTCTGTGATTGCAATAGTGGCTGGAGCGGGCCCTCCTGTAACTGTTCAACAGCAATGTGTCCATTAGGTCCTAATAATCAAGTATGCAGTGGTGAGAGTAGGGGCCAGTGTGTTTGCGGTCAGTGTGTGTGTAAGCAGCCAACCAATAGTGTACCAGGAGTAACTACACCACGTATTGAAGGAAATACTTGTGAATGCAGTAACTATGAATGCGAGACTGACTCAAATGGTTTAGTATGCAGTGGGCATGGTACGTGTACTTGTTCTAATGGTACGTATACTTGTCAGTGTGATAGATCAACTGTTTCAGGTTTCTATTACAGTGGGGACTATTGTCAATGCTCGTATGATAATTGCATTGATAAGGCTTCAAATGCATCAGTCTTATGCAGTGGCAGAGGAGCCTGTGACCAGTGTCAAGGTAGCTGTAACTGTCAACCTGGTTTTATTGGTGAATATTGTAGCCTGTCATTTACTGGTAGGCCATTGTGTACTGCTAACGAAGAATGTGTCAAATGCTTTGCAAAAGCAGCCAAAGATGATAGTATTTCTTGTTCGCATTTATCATGTTCAGAATATTCCACGCTATCATCATCTCAAGACACTTCCACATACACCATACCTGATACCATTGATGACTCAACTAGTGATTGCTCCATTAGCACAGTAGAATGCAGTTATATCTACTATGTAGCTGTCTCTACCAACTCCAGTATAACAGTATATCAAGTGGAGCCTGAAGTTTGCCTTCCAATACCAATATGGGCCATTGCTGTCATAATAGTCATAAGTCTTATACTCATTGGTGCATTGATTCTGATTATAATCAAACTGATATTCGTGTACAGAGATCACCGTGAGTACAAGACCTTCCTCTACGAGGTTAACCAATCCAAGAGAATGCAACAAGAAAACCCAGTCTACCTCAACCCCATTACTGAGACTGTGAACCCAGTTCATGGTATAGTTACTTAATTATTATTAACATTACAATGCGACATGCTTTACACTGCTATGCTACATACATGTACATCATAGATTATTAATTTTTTGCATAATGAAATATTTTTTCGAATAAATTGATATGATGAGAATAATAATGCACATAACTGACAAAGGAGTAATAACAATAATAATCATAAGTATAATAATGAAGTACAAATCAATGGAGGATGATGAACTATAATGGTCATAATAAAAAAAATTACAATTTCTTGGAGAAAGCACTGAGACGCCTTTTATGACTCTCTTGCAATGGAAGTGAGTTCCATTTTGAGCTCTTGAGTTGTATCACAGACGTCAGTCCATTTTCCAATAGGAGACCCTGGTACTGTGGCAGACCAATTGATACTAAAAACCCTTCGACAGACTTGGTCTCGATGTCCGAGAATATCTTCCAGTCTTTCTTTAGAGCAATCTGTTAAAAATGACAATAATAATTACTAATAATTACTAAAGTGTCTTTTCTTACATGCCCTCTCTTAGCTTTAAGCAAAGAAGAGCGTCTGATCTTGTCAAGCATTTTCGCTATATCATCTTCCGAGTTTCCTACCTCTTCCGAGTACCTCGAGACCAACGCACTGGGTACACCATACTCACCTCTCTAAATAATTTTGAAAAATTCTGTTTATGACCTGATCTACTTACACCTTGGGTGTTTACAAGGTGACAATGAACAAAACTTATTGCAATCATTTTTTAAAAATTTTGTTTATTGCAACCTGTTTAGCGTATGATTATAATTAGCATGATACATTAGTGCTTCGTTTATAGTGGACTAATTGCATTACTTACCTGTGATGAGTATGGCTGAGACGTTATGTCGATCCCATCAGACAGTAATTTCTCTTCTAATGCAATCTGGAGCAAATTACCACTCAGAGATGGTGGCTTCTTTTTCTCCATCGTCTTAAATGTTTTTTGAAGTGATGCTATGTGGTGAGGACCTGTCTGGGCTTCTTTGTTACTATCAATCGGTACTTGGTTAATTGGAGAGGTAGAGCACTGTACGCTAGTTTGAGTGTTTTCAAAGTAATTTTTCAATGACTGTGGAGATGGATGGGGATTGCGATGTGAACGCAGAGTTGCATCAGCCGATAATTTATGAGTGAGTGCTAGTTTTTGAGGGCTCTTTGTAGGAGAATCTGCGTCAACACTCTTTCCACGATTGTCTGATGATATTGTCCTTTGGCTTCTAGGAAGTGGCTTAAGTATTGGCTTCCATGGGTCGTCATACTGGTTGACCTGAGGACTCTCTTTAGCAATCGTCCCTTGCTCTTCCTGCTGTAGCAAACTTGTGGCAGGGCTAGATGACAAACTGTCTTTCTTGAAAGCTGAAACTTGCTCCGTTTCCTTCCACTCGTGTTTATTAACATTTGATCCCATTAGTGCATTGCTGGAATGAACATCAATCTCAATAATGCTATCATCATTGTTTGTCGTTATAGCCTCAGGAGTAGAATGAATGACCTCAGTCGAGGTTGGGGACTCTGGCTTTAGCAATATCTGATGATGAGTGATGGGAGCTATGTATGGAGATTGCTCTGTTGAGGGCAGAGATGCATTTGAGGTCTTGGCAGAGTGTGGACGGTTCCTATTAGGTAGTTTAGGCGGTGAAAGTTTTGAAGCGTTGCTCTCGGGAAAATCAAATACCTCAGCGTATTCAGAATGAACAGTAGCAGCTAGTGTGTGTACAAGAGGATAGTGGTATGCATATAATGATTGCATTGCTTACCAGCAATGTCAGGCATGCTGGTTGAGTTGGTCAGACCTCTTTTCTCTTCGCTGGGAGTCTCAGCACTGTCTGCTGATGTACCGTGTCTTAATTTGCTCTTGTCCTTAACCTTGTCTTTCTTTTTGGGAAATAAACGTCGCAAAAGAGATTTCTACACAAAAATAAAGAATAAGCAAAATAGATAAATGTATATGTAAAGAGAATAAGCAAAATACATACATGTACATGTAAATACACAAACCTTCTTTTCGTCTTTTCCTTCTCCTCCATCAGTTTCCTCTTCTATGACTGTTTCTGTGACACCATCAGAGTTTTTAAAGCGCTGGAAACGAATAGGAGTATCACTTCCTTCTACGTACACCTCCAATACATTGGATAGCTAAATAAGACAACATTGTGCTCATTAACAAGTATGCATTGTGTACACATGTACATGTATATGTACCTCTAATTCTGATTTTGGATTTTTAGCAACCGTCAATCCTTTAACACGACTAGACACTTTATAACTACTCTGTGCACTATCATCATCAGCGGATGCCTATCAAAATGCATGACACTGTAAATTCATTCCAAAGTGATGCATAATGAATAATATTAACACTCTCGCGAAGCATTCCGTCAATAACAAATTGGGTAGTAGAGTTATTATAACACCAAGACAAAAAATGCATCCACACACAAATTATTGTCACGTGATAGTCACACTTAAGTGTATTCATAGCTTACACGTGAGGAGTAACAGATGGAGCGTGTATAATGACTAACCTCCTGTTGTTCTAATGTAAATTGTTGCGAGGGGTTGTACTCTAGTTTATCAATTGATTCATACGAGCCAATAATCTATACCAAAATAATAATAATAATAATAATAACCATAAATGATAATAAGAAGAATAAAAATAAGAATAACCAATTATTTTTAAATCAAAAATATACAAGTGAGAGAATAAAAAGTATTTTACAAGTTAATATAACTCATTTAAAAAATTTAAACCCTCTTCCCTTTTTTACTTTTTTAGTCCCTTCACTTCCAAGACTCTCTTCAAAAAGGAGAGCTATAAATGAATTAATAAAAGCATACACTCAATATGGCGGAGATTAATTATCACTGTCGTACCTGGATTAGAAGATATACTACGTGGGAGGTTACCCGTAAAAGGTGTGTCTGTTACTTGTAAAGATGAACGATGCTCCTTGAATAAATCAGGCTATATAGTAATAACAATAAAATAATAATAATAATAATGATAGATTTATATGATGTAAGACTAACATTTGTTAAGTCTTCGGCAGAAGTGCTCTTTCCAACTTGCTTTCGTACAAGCAGCTTTTCTGATTTACGAAACGGGCTTTTCTTTTGAGGAGACAACACTTTTGGGCTCTCCTCTGAAGAGGTTGAAGGGTTTGGCGAACCTTTAAAAGCAGCATGTACAAACATGAAAGCACTCTTGTTTATGGTAACGTGTTTACTTGAAGGAGGTAATGTTTTGTATGACCTTCTTTCAACAACAGAGTGTGATTCGTTTGACAACTTATAACCTGAAAACAAAACAAAGTCAAAATAGGATCACATGTGTGTACATATAGTGTACCTGGCTTTGAACTCACAGCTGGAGCTTTTGGCTCCTCTGGACTATAAATAATATATAAATTAATTAGTCTACCATAGCAATACTAACCTTTTTGTAATAATGACTGGCTGAACTTTAACAGTATCAAAAGGTTCCTACAGAAAGCAAAATGACATAGTAACAATATAAAAGAACATGATAATATACTCACAGCATAGTTACTAGATGCAGAGGGTGCAATGGTAAGCTGTGGAGGTGGTTGTGGCTGTTTCTAATTTTAAAATAATCATATTAAATAATAATAATAAGCAATCACTCTTACCGAAGGGGCAGGTTTGCTATTAATATTTGTATCACTTTTCACCTAATAATGATAATAGTGAAGTACTAGTAGAGCACAAAAATATTGTATGAGTACAACACAACCAAGTATCAATACAACATGTATTTACAACCTTATTAAATACAAATAATAATATATAAGTTGCACAACTACTGAGATATGTCCCAATATATGTCTCAATAAGCCTTCTTCTAAGAAAGCACTCATTATATAATTATTATTTGAACTGTTCGAGGGAAACTCCAATAAGGGAAACATTACAAGTAATAGCTTGTACTAGATAACTATAATTGTATTACTTTGACTTTGACGGGAGTCTTTATAGGTGTTGGACTAGCGTCAAACGGCTCCTTTAAAATATAATAATAACAATGACATCATTTTATTAGTATAAATACATGTATACTTACGCTGTAGTTGCTCTGATCAATCCCATTAAAGTTTGAAGCACTAGCAGTAGTAGTAGTAGATACAACAGGTGTGCTAGTTACCTGAAAGTAAACCAAAACGAACATTGAACTATCTCAAAATGTGGTTGTTGTTATTATTCACTCGGAAACGGTTTATTGAAACTTTGATGGTTTACAACTACTGTAAACATGCTAAAGGCTTTCATCACAAGCAGGAGATTATAAAGGGTATCTTAATATACTCACCGACTTTGGCAGAACAAATTCACTTTTCTCATTGATGGCATATCGCCACAAGTCCCTCACAGCATCATAGACATTCAATCCTTCAATGTGAAGCTCTTCAGCATAATTCTCAGCTAGTTCTATTAGCGTGACTTCATTTGCAACCCCTTCCTGTAACAGGTGGTAAATAAACATGACAAGAGCAACATCAGCACATAACAACTCCATCATGTTACAACAACTGGTCATGTACATGTACACTCCACCTCCAGTACAGATATTACATACAAACATGTACTGCTACACACGCAGAGGTCGTGTTTGGATATTGTGTATACTGCAACTATTTGTCTGTTCACAATGTCATTAGCTCAATTAAAGGGTACAGTGAATATGGCTAATTGATTTATCTGATATAATACAGACACCACATGATCACACACATTGCATGTACACTCTGCCAAAAAACAATCATGGCAGCCATGCGTGAATTCACTGCCTCTCATACCAAGAAATGACTCTATATCCCTCTTGTGTAAGGAAAAACTATAGCAACAAACAACAATGGCAAATATAAAGACACAACTGGTAGATTTTTGGAATATTATGGGTTATAATATTAAGAGTACATGCCATGCACGTATATGTACATTATTGCTTCTTGACTAATACTGTGAACGGGTCTTTATAATGAAAGCCCTCAGCCCTTTGATTTAACCATATGTACCCAACTGATCCTGACCACAGTCATGCAGGTGGGACACCAACAACAACACACACTCACACACGCTCACACACTATATGCTATAGTAATAATGATGTTCTTCATCTGTTACTGGAAGCATAATTACAATAGTTTGTTATGTTGCTCATTAGTCTGGTATCATGTTACTATGCCCTAATATCTACAGAATCTCCTTATGCGATACACACAAACAACACACTTATACGTAGACATTTGGTATAGTTCCTACTATATAGTGAGTAAACAGAGTGAGTGCGTGCAGTGGCTTACTTCAATGACGTATTTAGGATTGGATAACACGATGTGATCTCTAGATAACATCTCCCTTATGTGAACCTTCAGCTGAAGTTTAGTCATTAGTGTAGGTGGCATATTGGCTAATGTAGACACAGCAGCTCCTTCGTTTTTCGGTCTAGCAAACTGCGACGGGTTTAATTTAACAGTCCCTTTTGGCTGATGGGGTCTTGGTGGGGAGTCAATGCTGGGTTTCGGAGAGCGCGAAGGCTTTTTTTTCTTTGCTGGCTTAGTTGGGACAGGAGTATGAGACGAGGATTTGTCATCAAAGACAGCAGTGTATGTTTCTGTATCAGTAATGACTGGGAGCTTCTCGACATTGCTTGCTGGGTTCGATCTATTGGCTTTCCTGTTTTCTTTGATTGGTGGAGATGCAGTTGGGGACTCGCTGCCAACCGAGGACTGTTTGATGCAGTGCTTGGCGAGGACCATTGCTTGGTTGAGGAGTATCTCACGGTGCCTACTGATAGTAATGTTCATTCCATCGAGGTCCACGTCTTTTAAATTGGCACACAGCTTTTGCGTCTCGTAACCATTTTCAATGAAACTCTTGTGGTATTGCTCCAAGCCAAAGCCTTTGAGCCAGTCCTTTGTGCTACTCCAGGAAGACATGCCTGCTGCCTACCAGCTAAAATAAAGCTGATGCTTTTAAATGTTTAGATATCTTAGAGAGAGGCTAGATCACACACAGCGTTGAGAGAGAGAGAGAGAGAGATAGAAGCTTTCCCTAAGCAGTGGTACACACTTGCAAGTTATCCTGCAAAAGGCCCTCCCCTCCTCCTTTCAAAGAAGAAGATTGTGGGAAGGTGTGGCAATTTTAAAATTGTTAAAATTGAATTTTTAAAATAATAATTAATAATAATAATAAAATGCAACAAGAGCATAATTATCAGTAGATAAAGATAACAAAAAAATGATTGTAACCATTGTTAAGCTACATGTATAGACAGACAGTGATTAAACATGATGATAATTATAAAATTATATACACACACTTGAATCAGGTACTACACCAAGACATCACGTCTTGAATAGAAAATGAAAGAGAGAACGGATGGATTATTTTTAAACAGTTTATTCAAAAAACTAACATCAACTGATAGATGATTAGTCAACAGCTAATTTAGAATCTTATAAAAATTAGAAGGAAGAACAAGGGAAACGATATTGAAACTTTTTGGCAGATTTTATCACCAATCACGACAAAGTTGAAGAGCACCAAATATATACAAGTAAGATATTAAATAAGACTATTTTGCAAAAGCTTCATGCATGAATAGATTTGTATCAATTCACACAGATCTATTTATACAAATATAGAATAACATTATCATGACTATAATAGCCAAAAAGGTACATTGTACAAGGTAAAGAGTCACTCCTATGCAAACAAAAGTGCCGGATATAGCACAAGATACAGCCAGACAAGCAGACTACGTGTTTAATACTAGTTCATGTTATACTCCTCAATTCTGTCAACTTGGAGGGAAAATATTGGCATGCATATCAACACATCAAACTCATCGCTATGACTGTATACTTTAAGCTATAGACTATCACTACAAATATTATTATTCTTGGCAATAGATACATGATAACATCAGTGTTTGCATTCATGCTAACATCAAAAGGTTTGCTTTATATAGAATGATGATAGTTCCATTACTCTGTGCATGACGAGACTATTTTCTCTTTCTATTTTTTTTCTTTACATTTTTTTCAAAAATGACTAAACAGCTTATTTTTTATTATGTCTTTATGCTATGTAGAAAGTTTAAATAATTTTGACTAATTTTTTTAGTTATGGCCATTTTTTAAATGAGCCAATTTCTGAAAAACTCCCTTATAGCCCATAGTTTTTTCTAAAAAATGGCTCCAAAATTACTCCTAATTTTTATTACATTTCCTGATACATATTGATGTCCTTATGCTGTGTAGAAAGTTTGAGCTAATTCCGACTTAAATTTTTCAAGTTACATCCACTTTAAGAAATGCCAAAATTCTGAAAAAATCCCTGTACTATAGCCCATGGTTTTTTCTAAAAAATGGCCCCAAAATCATCCCTAATTTTTATTACATTTTCTGATACATATTGATGTCCTTATGCTATGTAGAAAGTTTGAGGTGATTCTGACTAAAAATTTTGAGTTATAGCCATTTTAAAAAATGTTTCATTTTCTGAAAAATACCCAAGGCTATAGCCCATGGTTTTTTCCAAAAAATGGCCCCAAAATCACCCCTAATTTTTATTACATTTTCTGATACATACTGATGTCCTTATGCTATGTAGAAAGTTTGAGGTGATTCCGACTAAACCTTTTCGAGTTATGGCCATTTTTTTAAATGTTCCATTTTCTGAAAAATACCCAAGGCTATAGCCCATGGTTTTTTCCAAAAAATGGCTCCAAAATCACCACTAATTTTTATTACATTTTCTAATACATATTGATGTCCTTATGCTATGTAGAAAGTTTGAGCTGATTCTGACTAAAACTTTTCAAGTTATGGCCATTTTTTTAATGTTCCATTTTCTGAAAAATACCCAAGGCTATAGCCCATGATTTTTTCCAAAAAATCACTCCAAAATTACCCTCAATTTTTATTACATTTTCAGATACATATTGATGAAACTAAATTGATTCTAATTTTTGAGTTGGTTCCAACTAAATTTTTCTGGGCTATGACTGTCTGAATAAACTAACTTTGACAATTGCTACATTCTCAAACTAAAATCAATCTACTTTAATAATTGACAAAATGATACTGATGCGATAAAAACTCCACCTCGTGTGACACATAAGTTTTTAGTCTGAATCGGTCTACTAAATGTTATTGTCGTAGAGAAGTTTTTGATCTTCTTTTGTCTTGCTGAAGCAGGAAACTATAGTAACAATAATGATGAAATAACAATACATGAGTAGTCTCATTGTTTACTTTGCCTTTTTCTTCAGTTTCTCTTTAGCAAACGGATAGTCAACCAGCGTCTCATTGAGATCTTTCTTGCTCAGTACAAATAGATTTGAATATCCTTTTGAGACAACATCAGCTGTCCTTCTGTTACCTCTACCAGTCGCTAAAAGACTAAATACAACAATAATTTAAATGCATCAATGCCCCTCAAAAAATTGTCCAAATGATTAGTATACGTGTAGCTATTTCAGTGGTACCTGATCTCCCCAAAGACGCTTCCAGGGCCTAACTCGACCAGCAACTGTCGGGGCTGGCCACCAAAGACTTGGACAACGCCTTTATTAACAATGTACATCTCTCGTCCAATCTCATCCTAATCATTAAAGATACACACACATACCATATGCACTAACACTAGAAAGCATTATTTTGATATTCACAGGTGTTACTAACATTTGCCATTATTGATACCCTGATGTGTCATACAAATATATTGAATGACCAGCTATCAGACAGGTGCAGAGATACATTAAGAAGTGATCATGGGACATTATTATTGTGCACTTATCATTGGCATAACTGTATATTCTATGCAACTAATAATAATTATTAGAAGAGTTGAATCATACGTGTACATGTACACGTATATACAATAAAATACCCAATTTGTAATATACCCTCACTCTCATTCAATATGCCCCTAACATTGAACTATGCAATTCAATAGTCAACAAGGCTATTAGTGTATAGAGTTACTTCAGGGAAACCATAATTATGAATTATGTGTATTTAGTTCCTGTTAGCTGTGGGTAGCATCCAAACAGCCTTTCTGACAGTATAACATGACAGCTATAAACCACTAATCACAGACTGTCAGGCTTACCTTCTTACATATATACTCTTTGGGCATCACAAGGAGCGGGTGCAGTTTGAGAACAAGCTCTCTCAGCAAATTTCTCTCAAAACCCTACAAAGGGCATAATCATTATAAACAAAGGACAATGAGTGGCCCACCCTTTGATAACAAAGGCTTATCCAAACAATAAGCATAGACAGGTCCATGGACATGCCAAACCATTAACCTGAATTGATACACAATGCCATAGAGTATTCATTTACTTAATGACACCTGGTATAAAGTCTATCGATCGACGATCGCAGGTGCTACACGTCCATTAACATGCAAATAATAATAATAATAATAATAATAATGATTGCGACGATTTATTACTTTGAAAATCTTGACTTTACTAAGAGTGCTAAAGTGAACGTTCATGGCAATATCAGACCTCATCTTCTTGGGCAATGACTCAAGGGCCTTATCCTCATCTATGAAAACAAATTATTACTGCTCTGTTGGCATAGGCTCCAAGCCCTATCAAAACTACATGTATGTACACACACAACATCAATAATGAGTACTCTACATGATTTATGCCTGGTGCTGTCAGTGAGGCATAGTAATAGTGGTGAATGAACTTGGCTCGTGGACTTGGAACAGTCCTTCACCACATTTGAGGCTCTGGTTACTCTTTTCAGGAATATTGACAAACTCATAGCCCTAGCCCATAGAGGCAAAAATAATATCTAATGGGGCCTTGATCTCATTAAAGCTGAAAATGAAAGATACACAACCATTATGCTTTTGGGGGATATTCAAAACAATATGTGATACTCTTCCCAGCACAAAGTCAACCACAGCTTTCACCACATAGTTTGATTTGCAAAAAGGGAATGTTAGTACTGCAAAACCTAGCCATAATTCACCCACAGTCAACTCACGGAGCATTCTCTGATGGGTGAATGTATAGTCGGACCAGTCCTTCACTTTTTTCTGTATCTATATATTAATGAGATTATCATAATGGTTTATTATACACGTATGTGCTTGTGTTGTGAAAATTGAATTATCAATTGTGCTACACCAATGTACTGTTATCACTTAGAGATGGGAACAGGAGTCAACATTTCAATACACTTGAACCGATAACTTGTCAATATATCAACCACGATTATGAAATCAAAACCATGTTTTTAAACCATCAGACAAGACGAAAGCAACGTATGCTGCCCTCTTGCTAATATCACTACTGATAGCCGTCCAAGAGTTAATGAACCTGGCAATAGACCAATACCACAAACACTCTGGCATAACATAAGATTGCTTAGTTGAAAACCACAAGGTAGACAAAGTACACAAAAACAGTTAGCTAAGCCTAACCCAAGTTGCCATAATGCTACAAACTCTTTCAACAAAGCAATTCATTTTTAAGTAAGCAAGTACTACGCCTCTTATTAATGACAAAGTGCATATGGAGATCCAATGAATTAGCTGAATTATGTTAGACATTCAAAGCTTCCTAGCTCACGTTATATAAACGTCAATTTGTGTCATTTTCATCGTAACTGTCACTATGGTTGGTTTCAGTAAAGGATTGACTTGTAAGAATTTTATTTACGAAAAAAATTTTTTGAACAATGCTCTATAGTACAAAAGAGATCAAACTAAAAATAATAATAATAATTATAATGGCAATATAATTAATCATAACTTTATATGAACAAAAGAATTATTGATAATAATAATGATGATGATGATGTAGAATGTGGAAAGGTTTATCACACAGATTAAACCATTGGCTATAATAGATGTAGGAAAATATAAGGCAGAAAAATCACATGAATGCATAATAATAATAATAATAATAATAATAATTAATAATCATAACACAAGATATCACCATTATCACGTTAACATTACAATGTTCATGGACAGTATGATAAGCTATAGACACTGCTGCATATCAATAATGCACTCAGAATGCTGTCAGAGGAACAAGACCAAGACGTGGGGCAACTACTTGGAGGATGTATCGGGCAACATCAGGATCATCTAAAATGGTTGACATTTGCTGGTGAATCTGTCTTGCTGCTAGCTGCTCCTTCTCTGGGCTGGAAAACCAAGAATGGGTCATACGAAGGACTTCATAACGATTCTGCTGGAAAACGCAAAACTTGTCAACAGTCAAGTCAAGACTGTGAAGCCTTCCCAGTGCCTCACCAAGCTGATGGACAACATCCCGATCCATTATTCCAACGGCTGACATCTCCTGGACAAACTTTGAAGCTCGGTTAATCGTCTCGCGTAATCGCCCAATGTTATTGGTCAGGCCTTCCTCTCTAGTATTATTGGGACGACTCTGCAGGTCAAGGAAATATTGACATGTAGCCTTAAGCTTGTAGTCCTCAACGTTGAGGAGCCTGGCATATCGTGGAATATTTTCATAGAATTTTATATGCTGAAGGAGATACTTCAAGTCATATCCTTCAGGGACCTCCTCTGGGCTGACTTTGACCCATATCTGTCCCTGGGCACGATCAAAGCGCTTTACCTGGAAAGAGATGGGGACACGGTAGCTGGAGTGAGCATACTGGACAACAGCACGTAATGCATCGGTCAGTGTTCCTAGACAGCGGCGTTCCAAGTCCACCTCTTGGACTGTAAGTGGATCGAGAGATGGCGAGCCTCCTCCTCCTGGGGCCGGAGTAGTCGGTGAGTCTTTGTGCATCAGAGGAAGGCTATGGTGAGCAGCGGTTACCGGAGGCTGCTGCTGCTGTTGCTGCGTAGAAGAACCAGAGTTACAGTTAGGCTCGTCAAGAAAAGCCAAGCTAGATGGAGGATGTGGCTGTTGTGCCGTTGGCGGTGGACTCGGTATAGATGGCGAGGGAGGAGATAGACGCAGGTCTTGGAAGCGATGCATCCAAAGGTGATCCATCTCTGCAGCTAAACAACCAGTTAAAGCCATCAGACTGTATGCTGTACGGTTCTCTATGAGCTATAACAGTAGAATCTATGCTTGGTTTAAGAGGTCCTCGCTGCCTCGTTTTATAGGAAGTCTATCAATTATAAAATTCCTGTGGCTAAAGTTGAGGTACACGTGGACCACTAAAAATAACTGACTGCTATGATTCATTGACTGAAGATGAAACAAGAAGATCTAATTTTCTCTCAGTAGCGCAAAAAAGCCTCTATATCATGTACGCATGAAAAGTCACTCATAATAATTATAGTTGAGAATTGCAAGGCTAAAATTCATTATCTCAGCCTATATATGCTGCATGCACGTGTTCAAGATCCATTGTCATCATCCACAAAGTATCACAACAATAGAGAGTAAATAATAGTATTATAATAGTAAATAGAATAGTATTGGGTGCATTATCATAGAAACAATAGCTTACTTCTGGAGGGATCTTATGCGACTGCATGAACTGCTTCATTTGATCTTGCTTTTGTCGGTAGAGTAACTTTTGCAAATTAGCAGCTTCTACGATATTTTTGATCTTGAGAAACGCATACCTGTTAAGCATCAATAATCAAAATACCTCGCTAATGACAATTGCAAAGATGAAAACACCAACAAGATGACCAAATGCTCCCAGAGCAAACTCCAAGTTATTGCCAGGGCTTCGCTCATTGAGATCATGTATGGTTGCAACAGACATTAAAGCCCAGTAAAAGCAGCGAATGTAACTTATTCCTTGGCCATCATAAACCCAAGAGTTAGTGCCAAATCCTTCCCTGGCAGAAACAACATAATAAATGCAGGCATAGATATGGACAGTGAGTAGCAGATACCCAGCCATTTTAGCTAATCTAAATGGTGATAGACTCGTTGTGATTTAAATGTTGATATACATGCATGTATCTTGTACCTAAAGGCATGAGGATACTTGATAGAACTTTCAAATAAATCATAAAACATGTATACGCGATGTATCTACAATAAAATGTATAAAAATATAATAATGCAATAAAAACAATGGCTTACTCTAATAAGTCGAGGCAACCGTAGCAATACATTGAAGCGTAGGAGAGGAACAATGTATAATATCTCAAGAGGGAGCAATGACAACACATCGACCCAAAAGTGCCACTTGGATACATAATGATGCCACAAATCTTTAACGTTAATCTGAATACATACATGCATTTACATAATCAGTTCACAGACTCAATGGTATATCGGGCACATTACTTTAACATCTTTTGCTTCAATACTTTCACTAGCTGCAACAAGATGAGACGAAATAAAAACAATATCCACGACATACATAGCGTCCATAATAACGTCCAGTACCATCCACATCAGTAGTAATCCTAAGTTGCTGATTTCAGGCGGACCTTTTAAAGAGCCTATCGAAGTGAAATTGGTACCCTGGACAAAAGGGAATGATGATCTTAGTGAGATGCTCATTAAATTATACGAATAAATGAGAAACATGAAAGCAAGCCACCAGAGATATACCGAGCCTATAAAGCATTAGCAATGATGAATTTAAAATAAATCATAGCCAACACAAACCATTGGGATCAACAGAATAGCCACAGGTACATTTACATTTCTTGAAAGTTCGCTTGATCCTTTGAGGAAATTTAAAGATTTTATAAATACCATGATATCTATCAGCATCGTCATCATTATCATAGTCATAAGTATAGAGTTGAGAGTGCTCACTGATACCTAGTCAAAACAACAAACAACATATAAAATTCCCAGCCGAGGGTATCATAATGCTTACATGTACATGTACATGTATGTACGTCAGGGTTTCCCACAAAGCGTGCTAAGTAAGCTAAACAGTATGAGCTTCATGAGCTGACAAGCAGCTAGTATACCGGTACATGGCATCTGGAGTAACTTTTAAAATTCATAAAAAATCCAAACTTGATCGGAATCAGCTCAAACTTGATATACAACATAAGTACATGTACATGTACATGTATCAGAGAAAAATATAAAAATGAAGAATTCTCTCATAACCATTTTTGACAAAATTTGGCCAAAGACCCTGTACTATAGTACAGAGACTTGGGCCCAATTTTGAAACAACTTTAAAAATTCATAAAAAAACCAATTTTGATCAGAATCAACTCAAACTTGATATACAAAATAAGTACATGCATATGTATCAGAAAAAAATATAAAAATGGGGAATTTTCTCTTTATGATTTTTGCTAAAATACCCTGTACTATAGTACAGAGACTTACAATCCCCTAATGAGTACTATGCCGAAATCCTAGTATGGGAAACCCTGTATATGTACATGTACATGCATGCTTTAAATACTAACTCGATACATCAGAGACAGTAGGCGTATTACATATAGGGCTGGTAGTTATTATATCAACATCCTCCTTTCTTTGTGTTCTAACTTGCTGTGCTTTTTGATGTAAAACGCTCTTTATATTCTTTGACACCTTCACTGGTACAAACACATCATCATCATCATCGCACAATAAATCTCGAACAATTTCATCAATGTTATCCTTAGAAGGAGGACTTGGCACAGAAACGGGATCCCACTGTACAGTGGTTGGCGTTTGTAGATTCGTCTCTAAATCAAGACTAGACAATGAATCAGAATAATCTTCACACTCCATCTCGGAAGACATTTTAACTGGGAAGAATGCTAATTATTCACAGAGTGTTATTTTGTGGTTGCTATAGCAATGAGACTCATACACCTCATAGTGAGTGACATTTGACATGAACAATGTATAATAATTATTATAATGACATCTATATCATTCTAATACAACATAGCACATTAATTTACTACAAATAAAACATAAAAACAGTCCACCCATTTCCTTTTCTCATTGAGATGGTGCAGCTGCATTTTGTCCTGAGCGATATCTAAAAAATCAAAATACTAAATGTTAATATTATTATCAAAATTAAGTTTACTTGTAGATTCGATACAGCTGATACAATCCAGTCCAAGCAACAAACATGTTGACACTCAAAAGATTGTAATTCTTTGGAATTATAACGACTGAGTATCGAGACCATATTATGCCTATAAATACAAGAGTACCCAACATTATGATACAGCCCAACACACTAAAATAAAGGGGTCGACCGGGTTGTCCTTAAAACTGATTAACTACTTACCAGTAGCTGCTAAAGCTGTAGACTGGTTCAGGCTAAGTTTTTCAGCAGGTCTATTGATATCAGCCAAGCCAGCAATTACAAGACCCTGAAGGAGATAATTTATTTATTCATAAGTACAGTCTAATGTTTGATAATACAAAACAGTGTGAACATTACCCATTTGAATGTTGGAGCCCAAAAGAAGATGGTCTTTGGGCCTACACAAAAAAAAGAGAAAACTCAATCTATTATGAGATATTGGGACAGGCTTACCGGCTGGGTGATTGATAAACCGCTGGATAGCAGTAGTCATCTCTTGGCAGGAACAAAATATGGAAAAAAAGAATAGCCAAGAGAAGTGACAGAGGAGCTCCAGCTATGTAAAAAATGGGCGTGGGACGTGCACTAAACTTAACTAATTAGCGATGGGCGTGGCTTACTAATAACGCCAATTCTCAGAATTCTGCAATAACAATGTCTCATCAGTCATCAAAAGGGGATATTCTAAAGGTCCGTCTTGGGAATGATCTTCGTCGTTTAGTCCTCTACAACACGCACATATCCTATGATGACCTGGTACTAATGCTCCAGCGTGTGTATGGTGGTAAACTAAAGAGCACGGACGAAGTAACTTTGAAATACTATGATGATGGTAAGCTAATCAAACCACACCCTCTATTAGTGAATTGCACAATATTCATGCATACAGGGTCAAAGATTTATCTAAATTTCATAATTTTGTTAAATAGTAGCTTCATTTTTAGGGTTACGTTTAAAATTAATGTCACGTTTTCTTTTCATTAGATGATGATCTCATTACAATTGCTGATGCCGATGATTTTGCTCACGCAAGAGAATACTCTTCAACCGGGATCGTCAAAGTTGTGATTTATGGTGAGCTGTAATGATCCATACATACTGTTTCATTGTTTTGTGTAGTTAATGGTTGTGATACCGGCTATGGGCAGCTCATGAATCCAAAAGACATAAGGAGAGAGCTAGCAGACGTTCGTAACAAAGTCAATTCTCTTGTCGATAGTTTTGATGCAATGCATATGAATTCGAATCAAGCTCATGGGCCACTGGATAGCCTCTCAGCCAGCACTGCCACTACTGTTGCCCCAACACAAGCTATGGAAGGAGTTCCCTTCATAACGGCTGTTACTGAAGGCATATCAGCCTTTGATCCACTGAAATCAAGCAGAGATCACTCCACCATCACAACAACTGTCACCACACAGTTACCCGTGACATCAACTATATCTCAAGTGAATGCTACCAGCACTGCCAGTGGAAGTACGTCTCATCTCTTCTCGGGACAAAATGGTGGATCCTTCCTTGACAGCACCGGTACTACTCAGCCACCTCCTCCTCAGCTACAAGTCCCTCAAAGCCAGCCGCAGCCACAGCCTCAGGTTCAAATACCTCAGGCGGCTACTCAAATACCTCAGGCTACTCCCGGTCAGTTTGCTCAGCAGCCCACTGCTCCTCCACCTGCAAGCACCCCACAGCCTACGTCTTATTCACCCTATCCATCACAGTCCAGCCAGCAGACTGGTTATCCTGGATCCAGTGCTCCAGGGCAGTATCCTTACCCGGGTCAGTCCCAGTATCCCACCTCTACAGGAAACCAGTATCCTCCTCAGCAGCCACAAACCAACACTAGTTATACTCCATATGGATCAGGGGCTCCCTACCAGCAGCCGCCTACTGGATCATATGCACAACCACCTCAAGGAGGTCGGGGGTATCCTGCTGGCCCGTCGCGTAACTCGCCATATAGAGTTGGTTACTGATCGTGATCAACCTCTACCTAATGATCCCTTGCTGGTAATGACAGGATGGTTTAACTATAAAATGACTAACGATTTATTAATCATTAATCTTGTGTGCTGCATTGATAAAATTTATTGTCATTGGTGATAAAATTTTGAGTATAAAATTTAGTGTTCGACAAAATCTAAAAGCATTAAATTTTCTAAGTGCTCTGGTGGCAATATGCAAGATCCGGCGGAGGTGGCTTTGGCTGCCAGTGATTGTAGAAATGGTATCAAATCAATAGCAGATTTCACCTGATGGAAAGGTGGTATACTAGCATTAATAGAGCCAGTCTTTGATGCCTACATATAAATGAAAGTACATGAAGTTAATAAATAATAATACAAAATGGCAGCTACATGTACATGTAGCTTTTTATAAAATAGTTTATTATAAAAATAGTTCATAAATCAGTGATAACTAACAGTTGATTCCTTTTTATAAGAGTCCAGTATATTTCCAATCATTCCTCCAACGCCTTGCCCTGTTGTTGAGGATTCTCCAAAGTAGCCCCACGAGACTCTACGGCCAATACACATACATACACACATACAGTCTAATGATTGCTTACATTTGAAAGAGAGGCAACATTTCAGCTGGTAATGATAATGCTGTGTCTAGTATCTTGCAAGCATTATAATACCAGTTGAGTTTTTCTTGCGACGTTTTCAAAGGAGTTGCCAATTCGAGTGACACGTCAGAATGAAGCTCTGAGAGTGCTGTAGTCTGCAATAAACAAAGAAATTTAATAATAATGATAATTATCACTTACTAATTCGGATATTAGTGCCGGCCAAAGGGACAACAGATCACCAAATGACAATTTGATTAAGAGAACTCTAAAAGTGGCGAGCACCTCAGCATTGAGAATTGGGCCAGAATACCAACGAACACTGTCTAAAAGCCTCTCTAGACAAACAAATGATGATATACTTTCAATTTGAAAAGCTAACCTTGCATTTCCTGAAGAAAGCTACTGTATTGCCCTTTCTCTCCACTTAAGATGACAAATGCCATTCTCTTGAATAACTTTGCCCTTTGATTCCTTTCCTAAAATAATAACAATGAAAGCATAGGACAATGGGTTATAAGAATGCAATACAAATACCATATCCAAGGAAGAGAACATATTGACGACCCCAGCAGTAGTGGTGGATGAACTTGGTATGCGAATGAGGAGAGAACGAAACATAAGCTTGTCCTGAGACATCAGGTTATCAATAATGACTTTCCAGCTACAGAATCGAATACACAAATATAGAAGAAGTTAATAATTACACGTTGTATTATTACTCTTTAACACTCGTCTCTTCCATTACAAAGAACTTGTTATTGATGAACCATTCCATTACTTCGTCTTTCCAACATTTCCTTGTCACTTGGAATCCGCTCAGTGAAGCTAGCAACTTGACAGCATGAATGTAGCACCCAAACAATGACGACGAGCTTATTATAAAGTATAGCAGAAGAATGGTAAACGTGTGGAGCTAAACAGCTTACTTGTAGTTGTGCAAAGATGGCCACACGCTCCGAAGAACAACTTTGAGAAGAGAAACAACCCTGTCCTTTTCACTGTTCTCATATACACAATCAACAAAATGGGACAAAACCTATAATCGAGAAACACTAACACAGAATCTATCACAAACCAGCATACGTTAGACAACACGGCCATAGCTTGGACTTCAAGACTAGAGCTTGAGTCACGTCCTTGACCAGCTGGTTTTAGCAGTAAGTCAGTCGACTCCAATTCCTTTGCTTGTTGCTCAGTAGGAGGTGCATTACTATTACTAAGAGTGGAGTCCTCTTCGGTGGGTTTTGTGCTCATGCTGTGAAGCAATTGCGAGAGAGCCACTTGAGAGAGCGAGTCACATAAACGATATATGATATCCTATAGGCCAACGTTAGTAGGATATACACGCATACATGTTGCACATGTACCTGTAATTCCCTACGCTGCTTCTTGTTAGTCTTCAAGTCTGGGACTGGAATACGGCAGACAAACACGTGTAAGATACTGCAATAGGAGATAGAGTGTGCATGGTATAAGGACATAGTAAGGGTTTACCTTGTCAGCATGCAGAGTAACGGTGTGTTACTGAAGTGCCCCACTTCTACTCCAACAGTCACGGCACTGTGACAATCCTTTAGGAAGGCAACTATAGGGCCATTGGTTGATATCAGCTCTTCTGAACTTTGCAAAGGACTAAAAATTATAATAATAAATAATAATAATAATGATCACAGACTCAATAATGGCTACAAAAAATAATCTGATAAATAATAATGATGCTTTTTATGCTTTGTAGAGAAAGCTTGAGCTGACTCCATCACAAATTATTATCGATTTGAGTCATCAGCTTTTAATTTTGATCAAGTGAACTAAGCTAAAAATGTATACAAAACTCCTGAAAAAATAAAGGATTACCTTGAAATAAAACGATAAAGGAAATGAAGCAAATATTTCTGTCTTTCTTCACTGATCTTATTGTCATCGTCTCCCTTTAAGTTGATCAATGTAGCCTGGACACTAGCCAACATATCTTCCAATGAAGATATCTAATAACACACACACACACACACACACACACACACACACAGAGTGTATTAACAGTGACTAGTAAAAATAACCAACCTTAAAGACATGGAACATATCAATAAAAGCATCACGGATTGGCTTTTTGGCTTTCCCTCCTTGACTCTAATATAAATTAATGTTACTATGTCAATAATTAAATGGTCGTGCTCAGGGTATATAAAATGGTGCACCATGAGGATTATTATCTTACATGCCCTGAGAGTAATATAACTATACCTACCCATTGCATCCAGGTTTGTGCTATGGAAGAATAGAAAAGTATATCATTCCCTTCCTCTAAATGAATGAGACACTCCTTTACTAATAAACTAATATCCTAAAATATAAATAATTACAATAAAGTGAGCACCTCACTGTTGCCACCTACCTGTGAAAGTTCCTTTCGCATTTCATTGTGACAAGTACAAGTATCCTTCCAGAGCTTCGTCAATGCAGCATACACATGCTGCAATAGCCACAATACCTTCTGTCCTGCTGGAGTATTGACACCTCTATAAGAATCACAAGAGGAAGCTGTTGATAACTGATCAATCTCGTGGTTCCCAGTCTTAAAGAGTCCACCAAAAAGCCACGAGAGACCAAACGAGCGTTTGTCCTGCGACGATGGAGTTAATGGGACACTGTTGGAACTGAGGTCTTGACTTGTTGTCAAGGATTGTGGAGAATCCCAAAATACATTAGATATCTGATAATAAAGAGACAATTGCTGCTTAGAGGCTTCGGGTAGCAGACAATAGTGAACAAATGAGGATAACGTCCTAACATAGCAGACAAGGAGCTCGGGCTGAATGTGACAAGTGCACTGTGAAGGAGCATTAAAAGAATTGACCTGGGACATGCAACTAGAGCACTTGTCTTTGACTAAACTGCACAAGTTGCGACATAAAGATTTCAAAACTTTAGACGAGACTAGCTCCAAGCAGGTCCTGTAATATGGCAGAGCTGACATGAGGAGGACAAGAAAAGGGATCTGAACCTGAGAATTGGTACTTTGAGCAAGTACACACTGGATGAGCAAATGAAACATGGGCTGTGATGAGAGTGTGTTACCAGGGACATATTGAAGTATTGCAGGCTCATCAGAAGCACTGGAGGTAGATGATGAGTCTGGTGTGACTGAGTCAATGATTAACTGATAATACAAACACTTAAATAAATGGAGGATGAGAGACAAGTGAGGAGGAGATATAGTATCATTAGCATCAGTAGATGCATGAGGGTTGACTGGTAAAGAGGCCCCATACTCAGTGAATGGACCCAGGAGATTAAGTAAAGTGATAAGTGTTGTCTTCTGAACCTCGCATAAAGCAAGGAGACCTTTGATATAACTGGAATTCTGAATACTGAGTGTTCGTGTAGAGTCATTCTTAAGGGGAACGAGATGCTTAACAATGGAGGCTAGCAAAGCAGTAACTAATGCAGTACATGCGACTTTAACATCACAGAGACACTGTCGCACAGTATCACTAATGTCCAACCATTGTGGATAATCACTGGACAATACCTGCATACACTCAGCTAATATAACTTCCAATAGACTCCTAATACCACGAGAGGTATCAGCCTCAAAGGGAGACTCACTCTCACTCTGTCTTCTTGGCAGATCAGGTGTTGGTATGGCATTGTGAGAGGTGGAGAGTTCAGATGTTATCAATTCGGGGGAAATTGATACAACAGAAAGGAACAAACTTAGCCCATAGCTATAGCGTGGCCCATCAATAATTTGAGTGAAGTAATAGGTAGGGTAAGGCGAAGAGAATGGTTTCTCTTCAGTTTCTTTAAGTGATGCATAGCAATATCTGGTGTGGGGTTGGTCCTCTTGTTTTACTGTCTCTTTATGCACTTTGATCTTGGATGGGCAGGCCTCTTTCATGAGTGCATAGAGTGGGGCCAGGGCTAAGTGAAGGAAGCTTTGCTGACACGTTGTGATGAGCCATGTTGACACACAGCTATAAATGGCTGGATTATGACTCTGAAGACCTTCAATCATCCTTAGTGCTAACCTAAACATTAGCAAAGAGAATGTAAATAAATTATCAACAGCACCATTAAAGGAGTTTTAATGCATTATATTGTACAAAGTGCAATAGCATGTATATGTACTGGTATAAGTAATAGTTCTCCCTTTTGTTAAAAATTAAATTTCCCCTGCAAAAACTAATACAATACCTCCTTAATTGAAGCTCAGGGACGTTTCCTTTAAGGACAGAAAACTTCCAAAATACGTCAAACTGTTGGTAAGGCTTGATGACGTTCCTTCCAAATGTTTCCAGTAAGAATCCTTCAATAGGAACGGAAGGAGGAGCTAAAGAAATCAACAGGGAAATGAGAGAAGCTGCCTCTTCGTGATGATAAGAATTAGGAGAGAGTAAAGACCATAAACTAAGAGTAAAAACCTAAAAATGAATTTAAAACTAATAATAAATAATTAGATATTTGTGATACTTGTAACAAATCTTTTCTTGACATTAAGTTGACAATGTTATGAACACTCTCTTCTACCACTAAACCTTCCTTAGTCCATTCGGCCACCATTGACCACAATTGTAGTAGAATCCTCAACGAAGAGAGGAAGAGGTGAGTGTCACGAGAACGAAGAGGGACTAATACTAAACCACATAACCAGTCCAGAGATGCTCTATCTTTATTATTATTATAACGTGATGAAGAACCAAGTGATTTGTCTGTTGGTGTAAAGCTATGTAGCAAGGACATTGATTCCACAAGAACGGTGCATATAACAGAGAGGCTCTTTCTTAGCTCAACATCTTCATAACTATTACTGCAGAGCTTTACATGATCGCTGCTATCAATATATTGAAGTCCTTCCTTGGCAGCTAATGTTACCATTTCGGCTGACGAAACGCCTTCCATGTCACAGATATGAGCAGATACAAAACTTTTAATGACGGCCTGTGTCTGATTCAGTAGGGCCATTATCAGTCCTGTTAGTGTTCCAGTCTCTTCAAAAGGATTCCTTGAAGCATTAGCATCAATTCCTTTCCTTTCTATAGTCGGGCTACTAGGATCAAGAGACTTCAATGGTGACCCAATATCTATCGAACAGAGCTTCTTCATGTAATGCTGGAGCAATGATAAAGACTGGATGATAAAGAAAGCAATTAGCTGGACACTCTCTAGCTTTAAACGTGGTAAAGACTGACCCAGTGTGACTGACAAATGAAGAAGAACATTAGGAAGATAGAGAGAAAGGGCACCATCCATGTCAACCTAAATTAAAGGAGAAGGATCATATCATAGCATACACAAATCATTAGCTTACCAGTGGCAACACATTGAAAAGAAACATGACTAAATCCACTCTCTTTTGAAGCTCTGGGCTAGCTTCAACTTGCTTGATATAAATAGACAGGTATTCTTCAACCCAACCCCAGAGCAAAGAACTATCAAGTCCCGTCCAAAACAGATTTGCTAAATATAACAATTCCCCTCTGAGTTGATGTCGTTTTCCATTCTTCTTGACAGCTGGTGACTCTAAAGAGGGTACTCCTCCATGCTGAGTCAGTTGGGACTTTAAACACTGGACAACGTTAGGTAGTAACTCCGGTATTATAGACAGCATGTCAGACTGCTCATAGATTATCTTAAGCAAACGATACGGTTGCAATAGGCAACTCTTTTCATTGCTTTCAGAGGACTGCAATAATAACTGTTCCAAAGAAACGAGCAAAAGTGGCTTGACATGCGTCAAGAAATACTGCGAGTGTGTAACATCAGTACAATCACTATTGGCCTGCTTAGTGCCTTTACCTAATAACCAAATGAACACGCGACGAATGATGGACTGATCACGCTTTAGAAGGCACTTTAAGGTACCGATCATGACTTTAGTGACAAGATCACGAGGAATGGGTAGAGACTGAAGGGGCAAGAGTTGAATGACCAAATCTAACGTAGACCTCAGGACTAATGTATTGGGATCGAGTAATGATGAACAAATAGCTGGTACCTAGCAAGAAACAGAGAATATTATTTAGTGTGAAAGAGTATCCAATAACTCACAGCTAGGCATTGAGAACTATCAATGTGTCTTAAGGCTTGGCATAGAGCAGTCCCTTCCTTGTTCAGCTGTAGTAGCATGTAAGTGAGTGCAGGCAACCGTAGGGTAGCTGATGATAGTAGGACACTCCATAGTCCTTGGACAAAAGCCAGGGGCTTTGTCGAAGAAAAAAGTAGATCCAGCAAAGCAGAAACTCTTATTATTTCACATTAAAAGGTAACAAATATATATATTTCTTTATAGGACAAGACTTACTTCTCAGCACATTCACTCCCTTCTTCTAGGCCAGGCAGGAGAGCTATTAGGAAACCAGATAAACCTGGTAGCAATGCCAGCCCGAGTGGCAGGTAGTACTGCTCATAGATATCAAGCAAAATTGGTTTCACTTGCATCGAGCCGTACTCCAATAGAGGGAACAGTCCCGAGGAATAAAGGAAAAGATCCTGTGCCAAACCATCGTGACCAATACGATCAAAAATGACTCTATAAACACGTTCTAATAGAAATCCCACCCATTTATGATCAGACTGACTTGTAGACATCGAGTACTTTAAGATGAACTCCTCCAGGGAGAGAGGGATGGAGACACTGGGATAAACGACGACATATTAAATGCTTGTGAGGTAGAACACGGAAATGGACGTATGCCAAAAGGCACTATATTAATTATAAAAAATAATAACAATTAATTACACGATAGTTTAATGACATGCCAACTGCCAAGTTTACATTAGTGAGACTGAGCGAGGCTCTTAATAAGTGAACAGGTAGCATTACCATTGAACAAAATAATGGTCATTATTTCAAATAATAATAGTTTCAGTTGTTACCTTATTAAGTCTCGACAAACAAGATATAAGGTCTTGCCACTCTCGTGACAGTTCGAATCCTTTAAGAGCTCTTTCTACAGTCGCTGAAAACCTTTGAAACTTTGGATCAGACCCGGGGTTGCCTTCCTTCTGTTCAGAAACCTCTTCAGCCATTATCAGAACATAGACAGAATAGTCCCGTGGTTGACGTGAACGGAATTATCCTATAGATTACTGAAAAATCTTTCCAGCCACACCTCCCAGTTTAGACAGTGGGTCAGTGTTTTAGGTTTCAGCAAGAAATGGGTTGTTGCTGCCCCAGAAAGGTGATAGTTGACTCTCAGGTTTGTAATTTTATTTTCTAAACACACATTATCCTTTATTACAGGATAATGAGAGGCGTCCATTAGTATTATCAGTAACAGTTCCTGCAGCACCACAAAGCACAGGATTAGTAGAGAGTCAAATCCACAACCAGCAACCCTCACCTCCTAACACTCAGCCTCAGGTAGCAGCAGCAGCAGCAGCAGCAACTCTGCCTCCCTCTGCCTTTAAATACCTCGACAGGAGAGAGCAGCAACGGGTAGAGCTCCCTAACCTCCACGATGATGCCCCTCAACTACAACAGAAATTCAGCGATATATGTCAACTCTACAACGATACCATTTACACAAACATGGAGAAGCTATGCGAGTGTGTGGCCCTTTTCAAACGCACACTTGGAGTATCCAGTCAACTTCACATGAGGGAATGCTTTAGAAACTGGCGCTCGCGTATAATAAACCCGGTGTTTAGAGTAACCCTCACAGACGATAAAAAACTAGTCAAAGAAATAGTTGTGAGGGCAGAGCGAGGTAACATACCTCAAGAGATTTGGGAGGCACAGAAATACATACGAGAGACACTTGACATCTCAATTGTCTTCCTCAGCCAGTATCGGTTCATAGAGCAATCGGTTAATGAGGGATTGCACAAAGCTAGGAAGCTGTTATCTGATGCAGCTGCTAACAAGTCATTGGAACCTCCCGTCTTAGAGAAAGCCCAATCTTTATTGGAACAGTATCAGTTTGCCTTTGGACAGATGTCAAGATTTAATGACGAGGTGACACACTTAATGAATGAGATTAAAGACTCAGTTGATGCATTGAGAGATTAACTTATTATTATTATTATGGTGTGGAAAATGGCGTGGGATTGAGTATATGTGTGCATTATTATTATTATTATTCTATTAATTAATATTATTATTATTTCCATTGTGTAACCCACAATATATTATGTATGATTATTCCTGTACAATTTTGGGCATCTTTTAATTTTATTGATACAACTATAAATGAAATGACAAATAATAATTATGAAGGAAGAAAAAATAAATGGGTCAGGTGCTACTGTATATCATTTAAATACTGCAGTCCTTGTGGACCATGCCGACGGTTGAGTTGGTATAACCTTCTTTTTCTTGTGAGGGACAGTGCCAGGAACAGGAGGGGATCCTGATAAAGGATGAGGTGATACGACAGACTGCACTGCCTGTGGTTGGGGAAGACGCTCTATGATGATCGATTCCTCTGGATTGTTATGGGCACCATACAAATTCATCAATTCCTCGATTGCTTTCTCTTCAATCTATGGAAGAGTAAGTGAGTGAGTCAGATATAGAAAGGATATTAAAGGTCAAGTTATTATACTCTACTAGCAATGGGTTATGTCATGTACACACAGCTGCTGTGACCATTAGGAAATGTTGTCACAACATCTTCCCAATTGTATTTTACTAGAGCATAATGAAACTATACACTTTCAGTGCTTGTAGGTTAGTTGTACACATGCAGTAGTAAAATACTAAATAAGGTAATAGTGGTGATACTACTACTCAGCTTATAAAAGGTGTGGCTGATCATTATTATTATTAACTATGCTGACCTGAATTAGATGCAGTGGCTTCTTGTTTTCAGCTCTATAAAAATAATACCAAACTTAATATAATCTTGTAACAGTAAGTGAGCCTTTAACACTCTTAAACTCCATACTGTGCATATATATATATATGTACATGTAGCCTCTTGTACAAAATAGTTATATTATTTATTGGTTGGACTCAACTGTTTTGATAACTGATCCATCTCTCGTAACTGATCGCTAACAATTTCAGCAAATGAAACTGTTGGTGAGGCATCCTTTGATCTATGATAAATGAATCCCGTATCTAAAAACATCTAAAGTACAAGTGACTAACTTTGTGTTGAGTACTTCTTCATAGCTCATTGAACGTTGTACGGGTTGGACAACAAGTGGGAGAGGAGAAGGTAATTTCCTCCTGTTATTTGTTTCGGCTGTTACAGCAGCAGCAGCTGCAGCCTCGGCAGCCATTAAATCTTTAAGAGAAACCATTTGAGTAGAAGGAGGAGTCCCGCCCCTAGCAATGATGAGTAGCAATGATCTTTTTAATATGGAACTGGCTGCTACGCAACATAATTATATGCACATGTAAGCATCAGAAAAAATTATGAAAATGGAGAATTCTCTTCTATTCATTTTTGGCGAAATTTGGCAAAAGTCCCTGTACTATAGTACAGGGAATTTGGCCCGATTTTGGAGCAACTTTAAAAATTCGTAAAAAATTCAATTTTGATCTGAATCATCTCAAACTTGATAAATAGCATAAAGACATGTATATGCATCAAAAAAATTATAAAAAATAAAGAATTCTCTTCTATTCATTTTTGACAAAATTTGGCCTAAGACCCTGTACTATAGTACAGGGACTTTGGCCTAATTTTTAAGTAACTTTAAAAATTCATAAAAAATTCAATTTTGATCGGAATCATCTCAAACTTAATAAATAACATAAGAACTTGTATATATATCAGAAAAAATTATTAAAATGGAGAATTGTCTCCTTTTTATTTTTGATGAAATTCGGCCAAAGTCCCTGTGCTATAGTACAGGGACTTTGGCCTGATTTTGGAGCAACTTTAAAAATTCGTAAAAAATCTAATTTTGATCTGAATCATCTCAAACTTGATAAATAGCATAAGAACTTGTATATGCATCAGAAAAAATTATTAAAATGGAGAATTGTCTCCTTTTCATTTTTGGCGAAATTTGGCCTAAGTCCCTGTACTATTATAGTACAGGGACTTTGGCCTGATTTTGGAGCAACTTTAAAAATTCGTAAAAAAATCTAATTTTGATCTGAATCATCTCAAACTTGATAAATAGCATAAGAACTTGTATATGCATCAGAAAAAATTATTAAAATGGAGAATTGTCTCCTTTTCATTTTTGGCGAAATTTGGCCTAAGTCCCTGTACTATTATAGTACAGGGACTTTGGCCTGATTTTGGAGCAACTTAAAAAATTCGTAAAAAAATTCAATTTTGATCTGAATCATCTCAAACTTGATAAATAGCATAAGGACATGTATATGCATTAAAAAATCATAAAAATGAAGAATTGTCTTCAATTCATTTTTGACAAAATTTAGCCAATGAGCCTGTACATTATTTATTGATCAGTAATGATATTCAAGCACTTCAACACCCACTGCATGCATTTAATTTTTAAAAGGTTAACATGATGATCATGATGAAAAGTGTTGCTTTGGTCCTAGTGTCTTTCCTTTCTCTGTCCTTCTCTACTCCTCCTCCTCCTCCTCCTGATGTGCTCAAATGGACTGAACTTGAAGTTGGGATGATGTACTCATATGACATGGTCTCCTTCACTAGCCAAATAAGTAGCAACACTCAATATTTTTGTCTTGGGGTGGGGGGCAGTGGAGGGTCCCTCCCTCCTCCCTCTCTCTTCAATCCTACTCTCATTGATACTGATAACTGGTTGAATGCAGCAGCAGCCATTGGAGCTAAATATGCAGTCCTGGTAGCACAGCATTGCAGTGGATTCAGCATGTGGCCGACTGACATTAAGAATGAAACCGGGTTCGAATACACTTACAGTGTTAAGAACTCTCCACTTAGCAAAAGAGGATTCGATATTGTAAAAGCTTTCATCGACAGCTGCAAGTCACACAACATACTCCCAGGGATATACTACAGCCTAAACCAGAACTATTATCTCAATGCTGGACGAGGTATAGTGAAAAACTCAGAGCTGGTACCAGGACAGGCAAAAGTATCTCAAGATCTTTATGGTCAAATCGTCCTAGCACAAATGAAAGAACTTTGGAGTAACTATGGGGAACTGGCGGAGATATGGTTTGACGGAGGCTGCTCTGTTCCTGGAATTTCAGATAACATCTCTTCGCTTCTTGAATCGCTCCAACCTCATGCTGTTTATTTTCAAGGATGTGCCAAGTCAAACAATCTCCGCTGGGTAGGCACAGAGTCGGGAAGACCAAACTATCCAATATGGAGCACTGATGTGGATTGT